TTGAATTCCTCGTCACCCTCTATCTCACAAATATAATTCTCGAACATATCTTCACACCCTAAATCTTTCTCCATTACTAATGATATACTATTCTACTATCATCGCAATCACTTATGGGATTTTTCAACTGGACAACAATTGGCGATCGATCATGTGAGTATAGGCAAACCTGAACGACGACGAACAGTACGGCAGTTCTTCGCGTTGTAATTGACTAACTTAACTCAAATAAGTATTGGTTCAAATTCCCACACATCATCAGTAAAAATTGAGGTCAATCAATTTTTAGAACAACAAAAAAGATCATGTGACTCAAGAGTAACCATAATTCGCTAGAAATAAAAAACCACAAGATAATTTTTTTCAAATGCTAGATCAACATGAAGACAAAAAGTAAATACATTAATGATGCGTGCAATCATCGTCTAAATTAAGTAAAACACATTATCTCCTTTGGAAAGCCGCCCATGTTGGTATTTATAACCAACCATTTTTTTTGTGTAACCATCCACGTATTTGCAAAAACGGATTCATAATGGAAGTATTAAGAAATATTCATTTGAAAGATGGAAAAAAGAAAAAGAAGAAATGCACATACAACATACCAATAATCCTATTAGTTGTCAATAGTTTTGTGAATGAATACATTCTGAAGAAAAACAAGCAGACTGATCATACAGTACTACTTATATAATCAATAAAAGTGAAAGTATGTAAAAAAAAACATTCTTTCGATTCCTTCATGATGTAATAATTAAATTTTGTAAAAAAAAATGCAAGAAATATAGGTTTATATTAGTTATAAAGTATAACAAGTAGCAGTATAAATGCATAACATGATAATAGTGGAATATATATATATATATATGCTATTAATTCCAAGTAAATATGAAAAGCGTAAGAGATCAGCCATAAAAATGAACGAGACCTTTTTTCCCCATGATAGAAGGCACATTTGTAGACTGAGAAGTCGGATTGTATGTAACCTGTGAAAAAAATAAACATAAAATATGCATGAATAGAATTTGACTCAGTCAGTCAGTTACAGCGTAGAACTTCGTAAGTACGTACATCACTTCAAGTTGCCATACCATATTAACACAGAGGCGCAATCGTCAGTTCAAACCCCATAGTAATGGAGCTAGTAGGAGTATTTGCAGCAATCAAAAAGATTAATGATCGAATATTTCATTCGAGATGTATATCCCAGAGGAATAAATCCAAAAAATAATCGGTCATGAGGATTCAGAAGATTAGAATTTGAGAGAACATAAAGTGTGGATGCACCCGCGCAATTGCAAACGATTTTGAGCAATGTCATTCAAGATCTCTATCCATCGATTACTATCGTCTCGCGGACCTCAACCAGGTAGCCTACATCTACCAACATGACAGTTCACTAGTCAGTGACTTCATGGATTCGTGACATGTTTCGGTCTAGCCGCACCTAGCTTTCTTCCAACCTACTCCTACACCACAAAGCATAGCTCGACGGAGCAGTCTATGTTTAGGCATCTGTAACACATGTCTCAACAACCTCAATTGATGAGGTTTCACTACTACTACAACTCCGCCTGGAGCCCCTCCGGGTCTACTGCCGTCCCAAACCCTGATAAAGGACGAGGGTTGGGCTTGAGGTTGACGACCCCATTCCGTAGAAAACTAGCTCGCTAAAAAACGCTAACAAGGAAAAATAATTCAAACTATTTCAACTCTCCTCTGGGAGTTGGGTATTGGTTTAGAAGAGTTATAACGTCTCATGATGAGAGCCGAGGTCTTTCGGAAGTCGCGAGGCCAATACCCCTTCTGACAACCAGAGCCCTTACACCCGTAAAAGCACACGAGACTAAATCGGTAACAATCAAATCCTAATAACTCTGTTATTGCCACGACCAACCCTTCTTTTGTTCCTGCCACCTCACGCCACTGAAGCAAGCGTTTCGAGCTCACGAAACGTTATTCCTGGTCACCTTAAACCCCACTTTAAACCACATATAGACTTGACTGACATAAATCGTATGTACGTTTTCAAAATAAATAAATTTCCAAGTGTTCTCTTAATCACCATTTGAGTTAGAAGTATGAAACAAATCGCATTAGATTTTATATGGACATCTCTAATTCAAATCCGATTGAACAAGTTAGTACACAAGTCATTCTCAACTACAAACATCAGTTACACATCGATAAATGTGTTCGTCAGAGACTATTTGTCTACTGAAATGGAGTTTTGGATTTAGACACACTAATTCTAGGTTATCAAGTACAATTTAACAATCTGTTTAAAATTTCCATGTCCTCAAATAGCATGAAATTAGTAGAACAATAATTGTTTAACAATTATGATTAACATTACTTACTATAACCATTACACCTGAACAAATTGATTTGTTGATAATATTTTTTTTAAGATGAATTCACTAGAATACTCATTGTCAAAGCATATCTGGTACACTGACATGACGTAAATGTTTATGAGCATTTGTTAATTCAGCAAACAACTTGTTTATATCAACTGGATTCAATTGTGACTGTACTGATAATTTAGGATGAGAAGCCTGAAATAATAAAAAATACAAACATGAAAACTATCAAATAGTAAATTATCTAATGGAAATAAAGAATGATGCTTATTAACCATGTACAACTTTAATTATGGATAAGCTACAAACAAGATCAAGTAGTTTTGTGCAAGAAAATCCTACATGTTATATTCATGTATGTGGTACAGTTGTTACTAACATAATTGAATCGGTTATTCAGGCTATTATAACAGAATTGATACATTGTTAAACTTGTTTATAATAATGAATTTCACGTACAGACAGACAGTTGTGTGTACAAAAATATTCATTCTATAGGTGTGTATGTGTGTGTGATAAAAGTCTTTGAACTAGTATCATTGACATCAGAGATAAAGATTTCAACAGAAATATTATCATGCAGAAGATAACTACAGACAAAGGCTTTATAATTTATATGAAACGCATACCAGGATTATTTCCATAAACAATCCCTACTATTTTTTATAGTTTAAAACAAGAGCCGATATGGACTAGATCACTAATAGAAACCTGAAATCACTGGATAGCCACTTAGTCCTTGGAATGGACCGCCATGGCAGTGCACAACCTCGAACTCTGGATACGAACACAAGCACTTTCGGTCTCGCGAGAGAGCGTTTAACCTCTATACCAATGAGCACATATCGTGATCAGTGCAGTTCTATTTATGTTGAGTGGCAGACAGTCATTCGTCAAAAGATGAAGGTTGGTATCATTGAAATTAGATATTACCACTATTGGATACACGCTAATAAACATACAAGAGGTGTGTAAATAACAAAACTGATAATCTTTGAAATTCAAAACATTTTATCACCTTTGTTGACGTTTTTTCATGTGCATTAGTACGACTCTCTTGCAAACACTGAACTGGACGTATTTCAACAGTAGGTAATGGTAGTTTTGGGCCGTTATAATTCCATTTTAAACCGTAAGGAAAGTGCTCTTCAACAACTATGCATAATTCATCTACACAACAGAGCCATGAGCGTAACCACTCAACATGTTCAGGAAGGCTATATAGAAAAATTACAGCAAAGAGGACAGTAAACTAAGCACAAATTCGACTATTTCATCAACAAAAAAATCAATAATAAAAGGCATTTATTCGTAAGTTTGGCAGTGCACACAATACATCTTCCTGATCAAGTGGAAGAAAAAGTAGTGGACACGACAATCATGCCTAATAAAACCAAACAAATGATGATTATATTCATAAACAAAAGTTGGAAATTTTCAATTGCTACGATTCTGACTACTTGAGTTGGCATTCCACTATACTGGAAAATATTAATCAGTGAATCAGAATTACGTAAATTCATTTAATTTCGAGGATTAAAGGTGGCATAAAATAATTGTCTTATATTGACGATTGCATAGCTATTGACAGAATTGATTTTAACTTATTAAATTAATTTTTTAAAACGGTATAAATATTTGCTCGTTTGTCTGCCAACTCTTAAAGAAGTTGAAAAGGTTATTTGTAGTGTGAAGCGAGGGAGAACAGCAGGACCTGATGAATTAATTCATGAGATTCTTAAGGATGGTGATCTAGTCTTGGCAGTTAGGCTGACTGGGTCTCGTAATGTTTGGAGAAATCTCGGTATGAACATGAAAGCCTGACTGGATTTTGCGTCAACTGTGTTGTAGGCGAGATATCCGCCTGTCAACCATAGGACGAATTTACTGTACAGTTCACTTCGTCCTACTTCATGGGTGTGAAACATGACATTAAGAATTGCGGACATCTGTTGGTTAATAGTATTCGATCATAGGTATCATTCGAAGTGCTCCTCATCTATTTTGGGACCACCGAGTGAGCAATAGGAAGCATTTGATTGTAACCAATTTGATCTCGTGTGCTGTTACGGGTATGAAGGCAGTTGTCACTTCCCTAGCCCACACAATGGAGGGGTGTTTCTTGAGAAACCTGAAAAGGAAGGTAGATTAGTGTCTATCTTGGAGACCTGGGAGCGTGACTGCTTAGTCCAAGGGACAACTGCTTGAGCCTGGTCACGCACGGCCTTTTTGATGAAAGGTTTGTTGAGTATTACCTACGCTCTTTTTAAAGCCCTTATTGGGTAGCCCTTACCGACGGAGACGGAATATCGTGAGGTAGGGAGAGGTGTGACACTTTTAGGGTCGACCTTTTCTAAACCTTCCTTCCTTGTGAGAAACAGAGTCGCAACAGATGCTGGTTGTCCGAGGGAAACACCTTACTGCTTTCACACTCCTCTGCAGTCAGCAGTACGACTTCGCCCTCAGACCTTGAGTAGCTGCTTTCAGTCTCATCGTTCTCCAATCGACCTGCCTGGGCATGGTGGAACCTTCGGGGACATATGTTCCAGCCAATGTAGCTCAGTTAGGTCATCACGACAGGTAACGCCTGGGTTAGGAACAGGGCACTACGTAAACATGGCAAGTCAATTGATGAAGTAGTGAATCTTCATCAACTGAGGTGTATGAGAAATGTGTTACGTGTGCTCAACTGTCATATACCTTGACGAGCGATCGTATGTGGGGTGGAAATAGGTTGGAAGAAGATAGGGACACAGCACTAGTCCATGAAGTCATCGACATTTGTACTGATTCGTATTAATAGATGCTGATTATCTGTTTGTGGTCCGCGAGCCTTTGAATGACATGGTTTAAAATCGTATTCAATTGTGCAGATCTTTACCTGAATTCCTTATAAGCTTTTTATAGCTTTATTGATTAGAAGTTTTTGCCAATAGACAAATTTATCCAGTCATATCAAAAACTCTTAGAGACCCTTAGGAGTAAATAATACATCATGCATAGATCGAATTCCCCTGTTGGGTTAATAATAATATTTAAACTTTAATATACCCAAAAATACTTAACCTCCCACGACAATACTGAAAAGACTTTGTTAGCATTCAACCATGTGGATCCTTCAATTCTTTCACGTATTGCAGTGCTGTACTCTAAGATTTGTTATACTACGAACCTATAGACTTACAGACCTAACCCAATTCAGTATAAGAAATAGAATCTGCAATAGTTGATAATTAGACATTTCCGTACAGACATCGCTCCAACCTTGAAAATTCCTTAACTTCATTTAAGCTATTAGAGAGAATTACTTACTGTTATTTCAATTATCTTATAATGAAGAGGTTTCAAAATGAATATCCATATCCCTCTTCACTCGGTTTACTGATAAATACTGGATATAATTCAATGAGATCCCTGACGAAGCCAAAAGCATTTTGAACACATAAAGACTACAAATAAACAACAAGTTTTATTTACCTGAGATTGTATGTTTTCCTCCCAACTTTCTACTACATGCAGATGTAATTCTTTAGGCTATTAGGCAAGTAAGTGATTCAAAAAGCAATCAGTCCAGTAGTTTTTTTCTGTATAATGAATTAAACCATGCAGCACCTACCTGGAATCATTGCTTGCGCTATCTTTTCAAGCCGAACAACTATGGACTCCAGGCGATCACAGAATTCTACTCGATTGAGAACACCCAGTAAAGAGGATGTATTATTGCTGTTGCCATCACACAATAGGTTCACTTTTGAGGCATCGATTCCATCAAGCTGGTGAACAGCAGACCAGTCACCTAAACTTGCTGAACCTCCGTCTCCAACACCAGGAATATGACTAATAGTTGACAGTGATAAAGTCTCCTTAACACTTTCATCCTGGTCAATCTGTTTAATATTGTCTGGGTTTTGCTTGTTTACACAGTTAGTGGGCAGTTGGAATCACCATCTTTTCCACGTTTACGGTGACGTTTTATGACAGGACAGATATTTTAGCCAATTGCTAAATAATTGGTATGAAGAATTGAAAAAGACTACGTATTTCTGCTCATATGATTCGAAAGCTTGTAGTGATATTCCCCTAACTTGAGGGGTATTTGAGTTATGGGGGAGCGTGAGGAATAAAGTTTGTGAGAAAAGCTTGAAAAGAAAAACGTGAACTGATAATTGAGTAGGCACAAAATATATGTATATTAACTAATGAAAGAAGATGATATAACCAGAAATATTACATGCATGATGTAAGGATAATGTCACGACCAAAACTATAAGTGCTAACATGATGTTTCGAACACGTTAAAAACTTAACAGTGGTAACGCACAATTTAAGGCAATGCCTTTCGTTCCGATGTCCAGTCCTGAAGTATCAAGTGGTTTAAATTGTAAAAATGGTTCGAATAGTTCAAATGTTTGCAGACTAAAGAAAAAACGTTTTTGCTGAATAGGATTTAGTATCTAGTAGCGATTGGTCACCGATTCCTCCAGGTAGAAACCTAGGTATATTGAAGGCGTAAAAGCCAAATATTAGTAAGTAATGGTAAAATACAGTCTGAAGTCCTGAAAAATATGTCAGGTTTCTTCTTGAAGGACTCCAGAGGGCTGTTAGCCACCTTAGGTAAGTACAGAATCTGACTACTCGTAAGGAGTAATATGAGTACCTGAAGTTCAATTCGCCATATTAGGCCTCTAGTTTTTGGTATTTCCCCCAAGGTTTTTGTTGAGACTGGGCTTGCTTGGGTAACTTAGGAGGTCCTTAGGAATGTTGAAAATGCTTCTAGTCACTAGAAGGCCATATCTGAGATGCTTGTACTCTGGCAGGTGAAGGTCTAATGAGTGGAGGAGCTCTCGGTGATGATTGAACTTCAGTCCTCCAACTAATTGTGTGCCTCGCCTTCTGATTCGTTCGACTGTTTGCTCTTTCTTCGGAGTGAGGTGGAAACACCGTATTTCTACGCTCTAAATGTGGCCGAATAAAGCTATTAAGGAATATTCAGGACGTCCTACAATCCACCACCCAAAATGCGCTTTAACGTTAATAACACAACATTTAGTTGAAAAACATCATTCTTTGGTAATAAGCATAGTTGGTCCATGTATTCATGCTGATTCGTATAGCTTGTTTTCAAGTGAACTCCGAATTCATTCTGAAAAGATTCATCGATTGAGCTGATACATTTTGCCTGAATAAAGGGTTCCAGTCACTGGTCGTTTGGTGAGAAAAACTGAATGCCGCTCCCAGTTTGTTCTTTTCATATATGTTCCAAATTTTTCACTACTTACACTTACGAAATATGTGACATGTTTACTTAATCAAATTCCGGAAGTGTTTCCTCCTCCATAACATTCTTTGGGTCACCTTGTAATAGTAATGATAATAAAATTTTTTTCTCAAACAACGAAAGACTTTATGTTTTTTAATTGCGATAGTATCTCCAGCATGGACGTCTGAATCGGTTTACCCTTAAGAAGTCATCTCTGTCGAATAGACTTCGGTAAATTAGTCTGAGAATAACCAGGTTCTGCAGTAGTCGTAGTATTAACTCGTACAATCCTTGGAAGCTTTGGAAGCATGTAGAGCATTTTTTGGTTTGTGTGGTTCTGTCCGAGAAATGTAAGTTGTAGTTACTGCTAAGAGAATTTCAGTTGATAATTACTGTAATTTACAATCCCATAAGAGAAACGAATTTTGCAACGTAGACGAACTGATCTGAGCATTTTGAATACCTGAGTATTTCCCTTCAGATGACTACTTCTGATTGCGAGAAATACATGAGACAGCAATGTCAGGGTCAATGTCTAGTGTGCTGTAAGGCTATGTAATATCAGCGCGCTTTTACTGGACAGAACAGGTCGTCTCATACTCGTTTTGAAGACATGACTGAAAACCACTCCGCAACTTCACGTCTAACACTGGTTGTGAACTCACTGTTTTGATTGATCGCACTTACATTTGACGTAGATGTGTAGTCCATAGCAAATGGTTCCACTCAAACATTATGGATGCTTACAGGCTTTTATCCTAGAAGAGTGGTGAATAGTCATCCGCAGAATGCCATCAATAAAATCAGCATGCATCGAGTCGACCACCAGTTGTTTGTTGCGGTGCAACCGACATTATTAGCTCTAATTGCAATTAATAATAATAATAATAATAATAATAATAATAATAATTTATTCTCAAATAACAAACATGTTACAAGAGACATGCCAATTTACAGGCAAGATCAAAATGTTAAGATTAGCAACATATTTCTTTTAAAACGGTATACAGTTACTGAAACATTTCACAAGATTCATTGTTTTCTTAAAGATGGAATGTACAATGCGAATAATTGGCGCAAGTTACGAAGGTTGCGTTACGACAATCATCTTATGGACTGAGAAACGATTCATGGTAGAGATAGGTTTTCATATAACAAGAATTAATGCGGTTAATGTACAAAGGTCTGGTTGATATTCATCAGCTAATGATTTCACATGTTCTTGGGTAGGGTAACCAAGTCTACTGCAAATATCCAGACGAATATATGTGGATTGGAATAAGGTTCTGAAAAAAGAGGAATAAAGAAAACGGGACGAGGAGCGGAACAGAAAATATTCTTGTTCAAAGCCGAACAACGGCTTTGCACATACGTTTATGGATAAAACAAAGGTATATTTACTCAGACTTTTAATATCATAACAAAAACTAAACACCTGCACTTATGTAGGTTAATGAAGACAATTCAGTAGTGAGATAACTAATGAGAAGTTAGTTGAAAGAATAGAGGAAATTCAGAAGAACCAAGTTGTTAGTAATAAAGTTGATTTACAAAATATAATAAAGAGGATCAGTGATATAATTTTTTGTGCATTCCAATCTCTTTTGCATTAGTTACAATTGTAAGTCGAAAATATCAGCCTTCTATGGTCATGACCAGTGAATCTTATTAAATATCATTCTAACTGAGCAACCCACTACAGTAAATGTATCAGGATTTATAAGAGTTTGATCTTGTATTAAAACTGGTCTGCCTCTTTAACATTGTTATTTCAGAAGAAATAATCATTGTGATTTTTTACAGTTTACCCTAGTTTAGTGACATGTTCATAATAGGTTATTATGGAGGCAATTCACAAGACAGCTTTATAGGATAGCTCAAACCTTCTAAAAAGCCGTCATTTTCTGGTAATGCTGTCAGTCTATGCATTATTCCACCAAATTAAGCTTTCGGCTACCTTACTTTCTCATTCATGTGTACGACTGCAGGACAAGTTGGGCTATGTTGTGGAAGCATGTTTGGTTTTATATTCACTTTGTACGTGATCTTAGTACCTGCAAAACAAAATAATTCATTGAGCCCTATTTTGGGATGGTTACCAGTAGATCCTATCTTAATAGATTGATGAAGGAGGTTCCATTATCTACTGACGATACATCGGGATTCTTAAGAATGAAGCTATCTTTCTACATTTTTAAACAACCCGCAGTTGTCATGTTCATCTTACCAGTTGCTTAGATAAAAACTGGAAAGGGAAGCTTTCAACAATATTTGTGATTGCAAAAAATTTTTTGCTCTTGTTTCGACTGTCACCAAATGAAGGTCCTTTGTTATAGGTACACGCGTGCATCAACAGTTGCCGTTCACTTCTGTATTTTTCCTCGCTCACTTTGTGGACATTTTCCATGTCTGATTATTTTGGTTACGATTAGTTAATTTTCTTGGCCAAAATATGTGGAGATAGGTATGTAAAACTTATTTTGTATTTATTCTGTTAATTTTTCACTGCTTGTACATTTACTATAAAACGACTGTACTTGTTGTTTAAGTGTGTGTCTTCTCCCAGCAAATACACTTTATACACATATTGCATGTTCTCCATTGCTCATTAATGTGTTATCTGGATTCTAATGCATATATTATCTACATTTATAGACTACAGTCATATTCATATCCTATTCTACGACGGAATATATCACTGGGATTACTAGTCTCCTATAATTGTGGATTTTTGGTACCAAACGCTACCGAACACCTACAAGCAGCCGCAGTAAGTAACGTCCACGCATTTTTATTGTGTTGATAACATTTAACTGATATATTTCGCTATGCACCTTATTG